ACGCTTGCTGCTGCGTCTTCTCCTAACACAAACCTCCTGCTGTGTTTTCAAAGAGCTTCCTCTCTTGCAGCACAGAACGGTTCCCATAAAAGCCGCGCCGAGATCTTTTCTGCCTGGCACTCGAGGCGTTTATGCACCAGGCTCGGCGGCATCAGAGAAGACATGACAGAAAGCATATTAGATTTCTCAGAGGGAGATGCGATCGCAGGGTGGGGTGGGGAGGGGCGTCTTTAATGGCCCGTTTGCGTCCCCAACGAGGGCAAGGCAAGCCGCTGAGAAGCACGCAGGAGACTTTACGAGCCAGAGAAAATAACGATGCCCATTAATCCGCAAGGCATTGGGGGGGGGGGGCTCGACTGCTCTGCCGAAGAGGATACCTGAAGTCACCAACTGGGGGAGGCCTGGAATAACGTATAAGGAGCAAGCCAGGAGCACGCCGAGTAACCCAAACGGCAGATGCGGGACCAAGAGCCGCAGCGGTCGTGCCTCCGGCCAGGTTCCGGCCAGCTGGTCATTCCCGCCGGATCTCCCGCTCCCGGCCCACAAGCGTCAGTCAGACATCCATGCCTGCTGGACATGCCTGGGCCCCACTGGGCTGTCTGGGGGTGTCCCTCCCCCCACGAGGCAGCCGGCAATTCCCGGTTGCACACGCATCCCCCCCCCCCGGCTTCCTTCAAGGGCAAATGTGGACTGATTAACGGGAGAATCAAGATGGGGAATACATGGCTCAACAGAACTGAAAAAGACCTCGGAGTCCTTGTGGACAACAGGCTAAGCATGAGCTACAATGCGATGCAGCCCCCAAAAGGGCAAATGCCACTTTGGGATGCGTTAATAGACATATAAACTCCAAATCACAAGAAGCAGCAGTTCCCCTGCACTCCTCACTAGTCAGACCTCCCCTGGAATACCGTGTCCAGTTCTGGGCACCAAGATTTAAGAGAGATGCAGAAAAACTAGAAAGGACCCAGAGGAGGGCAACAAAAATGATCCAGGGTTTGGAGACACTGCCCTGCGAGGAGAGACTGAGAAAACTGGGCATGTTCAGCCTTGAGAAGAGAAGGCTGAGGGGGGGACATGAGCTCCCTCTAGAAGGACCTCGAAGGCTGTGCCAAAGAGGAAGGCCAATATTTCTTCTTGCTGATACCAGTGAAGGACACGAAATAATCAAGTCAAGTTGCGGCAACCCAGGTTCAGGCTGGACATCAGGGCTTCCTCATGGCCAGAGCAACGCGACAGTGGGACCAGCTGCCTGGAGAGGTGGGGGGCTCTCCCACACTGGGGAGATTCAAGGTGGAATTGGACAGCCACCTGGGTGGGATGGTGTGAATGGATGTCCTGCAACAGCCAATGGCCTTCATGGTCCCTTCCAACTCTGCTACTCTATGACTCTATGATGCTAAGAGCTATGTTTTGACCACCATCTGGAGAGGGGAGAAAGAGGGAGTTGGGGCGAGGGAAGGGGCTGCTCCCAGCAAGAATGAGGCAAGATTTCCAAACTCTTCTGGCTGCTCATGCCACCAATATGAGATGTTCTGCATCTTGATACAAACCTCCTTACTGACCTGAATTACAGACAAAGAGCGAAACGTGTACAGAACTTGAGGGACTGCAAGGGACCTGGGGTCAACCTTGCGACAAAACCGTGGACGGAATTCCGGCAGCCTCCCGCAACCGTGCGTCCCCATGCCTGCGTCGTGCCCCTTGCCCATCGCCAGGCAGGCAGCTTCCCCCGAGCGGCACCAGTCCAGAGGTGTCGGCCACAGCACCAGAGATGGTGGCCGGCTTTGATGGGAGTTGCCCGAAACATCTGGCAGGCACTGGTTCCAGGGAGGCTCCAGCATTTCCAGAGGCAGCCGCATTAGTCCGTGGTAGGAAAAGCCAGCCAGGAGCCTAATGGTCCCTTAAAGGCTGCAAAATTTATGACGGTCTCCGCTTTCCAGATGTGGTTCAAGAAAGCTTACGCGGCAATAGACGCTTCGGTGTCTGAGGTGCCGTGAGGCGCTCCATGGTGGCATTTTCCAGGCAAAGAGGCAGCCGAAGGGGAAGGCGATGGAGGACCGCAGGCCGGCGCCTTAACGACATCACCGTGAACAGCAGAGCGCTGGCTTTTACGGGGGGGGGGGGGCAGATGGGGCAGGAAGCACTGAGGCAGGTCAGACCCGTGAAGCCACCCGGGACAGAAGCCAAAACCTCCAAGCCCCCCCCAGGAAGATCTTTGCATCAGCCCTGCTGCCCACCCAAGAGCCGACACTTTTCGACTGGCAGTAAACAAACCTCAGGCAACCTGCTCGCCTCCCCTCCCAGCGACGAGAGAATCCAAACGCCTGGGGGTCAGTCAGAGTTCTGAGAGGCAGCCCCTTCTCACATCAGACCCAGCCTGGGGGGGGGCGGGGGGGAGGTGCGGAAGGGGAACCCGAAGTCGTGCAAACGAGGAGGTTTTAAGCGGCCAAGACGGAAACGGCGGAGCTCAGGACACATCCACACCAGCAAAACCGCGGCCCGAGGTGCACGCGCCCTCCGAGACCTTCCCGTCCTGCGGCCCAGGGCAGAGCGCGAGCCAACGCTGGGGGGCGGGGGTCCGAGCGCCCGACCAGCGGGCGGCACAGAGGGAGTTCTTCCACGGCTGGGCACAACGCCGCTTTGCAGGTTCCGGGGTCCTGCGAACGGGTGCTCAGCCCGGCTCCAGGTGACTGTGTGGCGAGCGGAGGCTTGCTTGGATGCTCGCTCAGTCTGGGGCAGGTCTTGCAGAGGGGGAGAGGCCGTGCGGCTGCATTTACCCAACCAGGGCATCACAGCCCCACCCGGAGCCCACCCCGAAGAGGCGCGGGGACAGGGGGACCTCGCAGGAAGCCCTCCGAGGACCAAAGCCCAGGAACTCTGAGCCGAGGAGAGGAGAGCGGAGGCCGGCGTCTCTCTGCCCCGGACAACTGGCTCTGTCCCGCGTTGCCACGTGAGCCCTGCAGTCACTCGCCGGCAGTCCCAGTGCTTCAGCTGTGACATTCCCCAAGGACAGCGGTTGTGTCCAAGCCGCTCTTTCTCCAGAGCCCCTGAAAACGTTGGGGTTCACGAATGCCTGCACCCCGTGATCAACAGAGTTCTCTCCTCCCCCATGCCACTCAAAATATGAGGCTACCGCTACGCTCCTTGCCGGAGAGGGACAAGGGACAAAGGCCGTGTCTCCGACGCAAGCACTGTTTCTCCTTCAGGCACATGCCCGCTTTTGAACTGAGCAGAGCTCTTCGCTGCAGGAGGCCGGCTGCCCACCTCTGTCTGACCCGGAAACCTGCACGCCCCCAAGACTCTGGCGCCCGGGGCCACTGGTGCAGCAGCAGGGCCCAGGCACAGGCGCCAGCTCTCTCATAAACCAGCGCCCACTGAACCCCCGTGAGCGGCGGCCCTGCCCCACTGCGGGGTCGGGCAGAGCCCCCCCCCCCATGGCGGGGACAAGTGGCAAGCTGCCATCAGAATATTGGTGGGTTCCTCACACGAGCGCACTGCTTTTCAGAAGGAAGGCAGGGGGCCCGGGGAGATGCGGTGCTGGCAGGGCAGGCACATGGAAAGGCACCCCCGGTGAAAGCTCCGGAACGCCATCCGGCGCCACTCCTTTCCGCGTGCCCCAGAGCAACTTGTGGGCAGAAGAGCTCGGGAACGGAGAAGGCACTGCCAGGCTGAGCACCGTCAAGGACTCTGGCCCCCTTCATCCACAGGCGTGCCACCGGCCATGCCGCCTGGGGCTGGTGGGAGTTGCAAGCCAAGGCCGCCACCGCGCGCCGGATCGGGGGAAGGGTGGCCGAGGATGCGGGGCGGGAGACGGACCTGCGGTCCGGGGCATGTGGAGG